ACAAAGCAGCCAGCAAGCAGCAGCACAGTTTGTACCTAATAAACGGGAGCGAGTATGAGGAAGCATTAAAAGGTTCTACAAAATTCATGGGCATTAACTGAGGGAACGATAATGACAAAAAAGGAAATTAAAAAAAAAAAAAAATGAAAAAAAAAGAAAAAGAAGAAAAAGAGACAGAGAGAGATTATTTTTATTTTATTTTATTTTACTTCTCTTTATTTTTTCCTTTCTCTCTTTCTCATTTTTCTTTTTTTTTTTAAGTTTAATCTAAAAATAAACGGCAACGAGACCCCGTTAGATTTGTTTAATAAAGCATGCAACAATTGAGCCCCAATGTGTAGACTGAAATCACGTCAAGCGTATAATGGTTAATTAAAACCGATCGAACGACTCCATTAAAAGTTCGACCGTTTCAAAGTTGATTTTATTACGTGCTTTACGACTTCCGAATAATTGAAATATTTACAAAGTGTGTGTGTGTGAAAGAGAGAGAGTGAGAAATAAAGAAAAAAAAAAACAAAATGCCGTTGAAATGGCAAGTGCGATAAAGACGGCCATTAAATGCAACGCTTTGCACCAATTGCATTTTGCATGATCGATAATTGCTGTCAATCGTGGAAAGAAGAAACTGACCGAACATTGAATCTTTCAATTTCATGATACTTTTTTTTTCTCTGTCTATCCATTCTTTTTTTGTTTCGTTTTGTTTTGTTTTATTGATAAAAAAAATTAACGTATTCGAATCGATTCATTCTCTCCCTTTCGTGATTTTATTATTAAAATCGGTATCGACAGTTGAGCTTTTAGATATTTGTTTTTTTTTTCCCCCTCATTGAGACAATACATCGATACGATTTGTGCACGGAGACAACGAGGACTGAATTAACCATTATTAGATATTGATTAATCAATTGGGTAAAAAAGTATTGAATATTTTTAAAAGTAGATATCAAATAATCGTGTAATGTTCGAATATATTTTATGTAAAAGATAAAATTCGATCGATACCACCGTACGTTAGCCGTGTCAATTCTATTTTGCATTTATAGAAGTTCGTGCTTTAAAATAGTTTTGCTTTGAAAGTTCCTTTTACAAATTTTACATTCGTTTAACTCATTTTGTGTCACGTTATATCCGTGAACCACTTGTTCATTCTCACGACCTTTCAAACATTGACTACAGTTAGAGCAAAAAGTATTCAATGAAACCTATATCGATCTTCGATAATCATACCTATACGTAAGTTTATTAAATTTTCCCTTGTCGTTTCGTTTCGTTAAAACTTTCAAAGATTTGCGAATCGTTCGATAAATGCTAATAAAATAAAACCTATGAATATTGACGAGTATTTTAACACGTCGTGGGAAGTTTTAAAAAAGAATAAAAAAAAACACAGAAAATGGAGAGAATAATAAATCTAAGTAGTAAACATCTTTCGTAATAAGAAAATGTCGTACTTTTTATATAAACTGTACGTACCGGTAAATGACGTATGCAAAAGAAGTAAGTAAGGCGTATGCATATTACATATGAACACGATGATAAAAAAAAAAAGAACTACGTCATAGGGCAGTATGCAGTTAAATAAAAGGAAAAGTTGGAAAACGTCACTATTGGAAGAAAAAAAAAAAGGAAGAACATAAAGTTATGACGACACGATATGTGTGACGTGCATACGATAAAAGTCAGTATATGCAAACGTCATAGGGTGTAAATCTATCGTAACAACTGTTCTTTTATCTTTCTTATTTTCTATCCTATTCTATCACTTACATTTTATAACTTTTACTCTATCTCTCTCTCTCTCTCTCTCTTTTTCTATTCCACCTGTTCTTCATAGAAGTACTTCACCTTCAGATATTATTCAAATGGTAATCGCACGCTAGCAGCAGTTCATGGAAATCGTCTAAATTGCATAAATTGAAAATCAACGTTATTTCTGGTGAGAAAAGTTTTCTTCAACTAAAGGTTAAGAAGAATTTAAATTAATAGTTTCATTCTATTAATAGATTATTAATTAAAACGATCACTTATCTATAACTTGAGTCATTTGTAATACTTTGTAATACTTTAATACTCCTACTGCTGCTGCTAACTGTTCCTATAGTGATTAAAGGAATTATCATAATAATCACTTACCTGTAATATAGACGACGTTTTCCAAAATTCATAGAAAGAAAAAAAGATGGGATATATAAATGAACGACTGGATACAAATCGATTGTTTATTAAAGCAAAACTTTATTATAGCAATAGTGAACAATGGATAACTATTAAAGATTTTTAACATGTTCTTTTTTTATTCCTTTTTTTTTTGATAAAAATAGCGATTGGATGTTTAGGTAGTAGGTGAATATCTAAAAGGGCCTCTTACCGTATGAAATTTTTTCTTTTTTTTTTTTTTTGTTTGTTTGTTTGTTTGTTTGTTTTTTGAAAATGAAAAATGTTATGTGTTCTACTATGGTGGTGTTAGTCGACGATGACAGTCCGCGCGCACACGTCGATTAATTAAAAATGGACGTTGCTTATTAACTGCATGTAAGTTTTCATGTTTATTCTCTTTTTGTTATTTTTATTTATTTGTTTGTTTAGTTTTTCTTTTCATCTAATTTGTAAATTATCTAATCCTAAACAGAGGACAATTACTAAGCACTTGGAGGGAACATTTAAATGTTAAATAAAATCCTTCTAACAACATTTTCTCTCTCTCATCTAACATAAACGAAATAAAACAATAAGAAACGAATTGAAATGAATTGAAACTAAAGTAAAATTAATAAACGAAAAGAAAAGAAAAGAAAAAAGAAGAAATACATCGATATATTATTTTTAATATAAAAGTCGATATGTTGGAGATGAAAAGCAAAAAAAAAAAAAAAAAGAAATTAAAAAGTCAGTGTATTTCTCCGCAAATCTAAAAAGGATGTTCTCTTCGGCAAGCATCAAAGGATTTATGATATTTATACTCTCCGGAGTCGTCAATTTCCTTCCTTCGTCGTATTTCTTGAGTGGATGATGAGAGAAAACGAGAAAAAAGAAAATCAAATGAATAAAAGAATATGCAGAAGATAAAAATAAAGAAAGATAAAGAAAAACCAGAGTGTAGAAAATAATCCAGAAGGATATATACGCGAATGTATATGTAAGTATTATATCTATGTACACATATGATACGTAAATGGGGAAGGAAAGAAAACTAAAAATGGTTCAAATGGTACCAATAGATTATTAATCATTCGCGATGACGTTCTTTCACATAAAGATAGGTCAAAAATGAATAAAAGCAAAGGAAGGGTATAATACGTAAAAAAAGAAAAAAAGTCGTGGATTTAAATTAAGAAAAAAATAAAAGAAAGAGGGAAAAAAGGGGTAAAAATAAACAAAGTAGAAGAAAAAGATGAGTAATCTAAATATAATTGCGAGATATCGACCGAGTCGCGCGCGAATCATTCGTGTGTGAGCGTGTATGTATTTATGTATCTATGTGTATGTGTCTTCTTTGTGTAATATCCTTAGTCAAGAATGATAAATTAAAATCATTATAAACCCAACCTGCTTAGATTATTCCGGTTGTTTAGTCTTTCTCTTGTTTTCTCTCTTTTTATTTTTATTTTTTTTATTTTTTATTTCGTGTAAGCCTAAATGCATGTACGTGTGTATTATGCGTGTAGGATGTTTTCTCTTCCCCTTTGCGTGTGTGTAAGTGTTCGTGTCGACTCCTTCGTAAAATTAGAATCATCCTGTACGAGTTATGTAATAATACTTGTCTGTTACCTCAAAAAACTGGAAACCTAAGGACAGTCGTCTTTCTAGACCTAATGATATATTTTAATAAATCGTTATCGACTATCCTTCAAATATTCTCGATCCTCGTCTAATCGCCTAACACGTTTAATTAATCCTCAATCCTATTATTCATAGTTCGTACTTATCTTTTCATTATTCGAACGCGCATCATTTTATTCATTTTCATTCCTTTCTTCTCCATCATTTTCTTTATTTTGTTACCAAACCTATCTTACTATATATATATATAGTAAGTAATGTCTCTCTTTTACTCATAAATGCTATCCTTTTATACAATCTAGCTCCTATTATAGGCGATCGAACGCAGGACGTGAAAGGACGAAGGATTATCTTGAAATTCGTTCGCATAATCGATACTCTTGTCTCGAAAAGGATTATTTTCTCTCTCTCTCTCTCTCTCTCTATTTTCGTCCTTCCTACCAACGACGATCGTCCTTTCTCTCTTTCTCTCCTTTTCTCTCTCTTTCTTCCCTTAACAGTATTGTATCTCTCGATTATCTTACAAATAATATATATCTAACAATTTTAGTGTTTCATCTTAGATTGCTTTACTTGATCACCCCTTACGACTCACGTTGAGAGAACTCACCCAAAACGATCGTTAAAAGCTTTCAACACTACATGAACAAGAAGTGAAAGCTTAGACAAGCAAATTCTTTCTATCTTTCCTTTTTTTCTTTTTTTCTTTCTTTCTTGTCCAAGAGCTACAGGTTGACGAATCGAAAAGGGTGAGTTTTCCTTTTACCCTAAAGATCGTTTTACCTTACTATTTTTATCGATAATATTATGTTTGCTTATTTATTTATTTTTTTCTTCTTCTTCTTCTTTCATTATTCTTTTATAACTTTCTTTTAGACGTACGATAATTAGGTTTTTTTCTTTTTCTTCTGTTATTCATATAATTCTTTCTCTCTTTCTCTTTCTCTCACATTCAATTTCACTTTCACTCACATCAGTGTGTACTACCTATCTGATCAATTTACGGCTTCACGATATAGTTTAATATGTATATGCACACACCACTTTTACAACACAATCGCACGACTCACTCTCTCTCTCTCTCTCTCTCTCTCACGCAATTCTGAATTTTATTTTTAAATATTTTTAATTCTTTATTTTTTAGCCAACGAAAATTATTTTCTGTTTCTTTTTTTCTTCTTCTTCTTCTTTTCGAGTTCCCATTACTTTTTTCATTTTTCTTTTTCACAATAATCGTAAAGAATTTTTTTTTACATTTCGATCATCTCGAATAGTATCATCGAACACTCAATTTAATCGTGGCAAGATTGTTCGTCTTCCGTTAGCGTGATATTCTTTCTCTCTTTCTTTCAAAAACTTTCTCATACTCACTTCGAAAAATTACCCTTAAACCTTAAGTCATAATACTATTCAATACTTGAAGCTCATAATAAGTACATACTTCGAAGATTAGATTATCAATTATTGTATTTTAATTCTTACGTTTCTACGATTTTTACCGTACACTTTTTTGAAACACAAGAGCGCCGCACACATTCTTTCATAAAACATGTATTTGCGATTTTATCGTTTTCTTTCCTTTCTTTTTATTCTTTTTGGAATCGAAAAATTTTCTAAACGAATCGATCCTTTCGATTGATTCTTAGATACGATCTATATATTTTATTTTTTCTTATTTTTTTTTCTTTTTTTTTCTTTTTTTTTCTTTTTAAATCATACTCAGCATTCATACGACGAGTCTGATAGGTACAAAAGGTAAGTCATCGAACCTGAATGGCAGTGCTTCGATGACCTCTGTACAAGGGATTTAATATATATATATAAAGAAAAGGGAAAGAAAACGAAAGAAAATAGGGAAATGAGAGATAGATTACGACAATGATTGAAACGTACGTTCGATCTATCGTCTTCTTCTTTTCTTTTTTTTTTTAAATAATAATAAAAACGCAAGAAATAAATTATACCAAAAAAAAAAAAAACGAGAATGATTCTACTTTTTCTTTTTTTCTTAATCTCTCAACGTAAATACAAATAATGTTCACTTTAGTTTTATTGGAACCTCCCGAGTAGAAATGTAAATTAAAGATAAAATATAGCTTTGTTTTTTGCAGAATTTATTTTTACGAGAAAAATCGAAATTTATAGAAGAGAAAGGTGTCATGACCTCCCTGTTATCGATCATTTTCTTTTTATTTTTTTTCATCTCAAGTTCAATAATCGTCCTCGAGGAAAATACAAGAGAAAAAAAAAATATACGTTCAAGAATATTAGACATTAGATAATTTAAAAAATAATCTACTACTTTACGATGCATTTTAATCAGAGATAAAACGTGTTTGGCTTTTTTTTCTATTTTTTTCAAGTTTTATTAGCCGATTTCATAAAACTGCGTTCCATTCATTATGATATAAATATAGAAGGTACTATTTTTTCTAAACGATCGAAATATTTTCTGCTATTAATAATAATAATAATAATACATTTAAAAATTAATACATATCAAAAAGTACGCAATTGAAATTACAAGAAAATAATATAAAATAATATAAAATAAGAAAATAAACAATAGGCTAAGGAAACAAATAATGCAATAGAGAGAAACATTTTAATTACTAAGCAAGAAGCGTTCCCGTATTTTACGTCATAAAATCTACATTTTATTATTATTATTTTTATTTTTATTTTGTTGTTGTTGTTGTTGCTTCATTTTTTAAAACCTACGTAAAACGTTCACATTCGCGTTTCATAAATTTTTTTGTCCTATATTTACATAACTTACGCGTACGCGATTTTCTTTCTTCTTTTCAAGTATGGAGCTTGCTTGGAACAAGAAGGAAGAGTAGGAGGGAGGGAGGGAGGGAGGCAGGGAGGAAGGTAAATACCTCGAACCTAGGAAGGAAAGGGTTGGTAAAAAGAAGGCAGCTGAAAGAAAAGTTACACTTCCGATTATAGGAGTGACCTTTTTCTAGCGATTAGTTTCTTTTTTTTTTTTATTTTTTATAGCACCGTGACGATAAGAAACTGCATGGACCACCTTTTTTGTCTCTCTTTTACTTACATACTTATTTTTGTGAACGACAATGGAAAATACAAAAAAAAAAATTTATAGCATAGATCCATTTTGTTTTTTTTTTTGCCCCACAAATGTTTTTTCTTTCGAGTATATCACAGATTGACAAAATTTTTGTCCCCAATAAGAATTATTCGTTTTTTTTTCTTTTTTTTTCATTTTTTCTTTTCGTACGAGGTTACCAGATCGTCGTAAATTTCTCCTTACTACTTTTCTTTAGCTTTTATTAATCAAACATCATTACAAGAGAGATCATTCCAATAAATAATCCAATTCAAATCGTCTAGGCGCGAGCCCTCCTCCCATTTGTCCGTGTCATATTTTTTTCCTAACGTATATATATATATATACACACCTATGTGTATGTGTATATATATAATACGTTTAATAAGTACGCGAGTGTCTCCCTCTCTTTTTTATTTTATATTTTTTACTATATATATATACTTGCTCTATGCCATGTATATGTAATATGTATGAGTGTGTAGGGTGTGTTGAGGGGTTGGTGGTGTGTATCTATTTACAGCGAAGCGATTACAAAAATTGTCGCGAAGAGGAACGAGAGATTCATTACGGCCTATATCATCGATCGTCGTGAAATATATTTCATTCGCGAATATGTATATATATATGCTTACATATATATGTATTAAAGGTGGACACATGTATACGTATGTACATAATAACGCGCGATCGCATATTGCGAAACGAGAGGGAAAAAAATTACGGGCACATCGAATCGAACTGTTAATAATAATAATAATAGTATTAAAAATAAAAATAATAATAATAATAATACTTATAATAATTTTAATAATAATGTGGTAAAGAGAGAAAAAAAGAAGGAAAAATGTTAACGATTTTCGAGTTAGTTTACGCAGATAGAAAAAAAGAGAAAGGAATAAAGTTAAAAGGATTCTTTATCTCTATCTCTCTCTTTCTCTCTCTCTCCTTCCCTTCCTCCCACCCTTTTTCTCTTCTTATTGCGCGCGCGTGTATATCGGAGTATTTATATGTTCGACAATCAAGTATCTTCACCTAAACGAAGAAACTCAATAAATCGATAATTTCCGAGGATCAGTAGCAAGCTAAGAACGAAACTACAGATGCTGATGTTAGTTGTGTTGCTGTTGCCACTTCCTCTCGTTCCCGTGTTGTTATTAGTCGCTGGACCAATGCGACCCCCCTCATCTCGTGTCATCGTCAGCACGCTCTGATATTCGTAATCTCGGCTCGATGTGGGCTCCTCAAACGAACTGGTCTATCAGACCAAAGGTGTTCCGTATACTTCGTTCGTATGAAGATTCTGATTGCTATCGTTCTGGCATGAAACGCATTGCTGAAACAGGGTAAAAAAAAGGGGCCGATTCCTTAAAAGATTGTTTCTTTCTTTCTTTATGATGCACAACTTTAAAACGAATCCTTTATTTTTGTAATATTTTTATAGAAGAGACACGCGCACGCTAGATGAATAATGTTTTATGTTAAATATCATAGTTGATAGGAATATCAAATTTTTTTAATCCTTTGACTGTTACGGACGTATATATACGTTTGACAAAAGTTACCAGCGTGGATTATACGTGTTTGTCAATATGAATGTAAAATAATGTTAATGTTGGTTTGCGTATTGAATGAAAATTATATGAAGATAGAAAAATTGTAATTATTAGAATCTAGTTGATAATATCAATCAACACAAACAGAGTCGCAGTAATAATAAACTATTCCATCTTTACAAAACACTTCGGGTAAAAGTATTAAGCACTTAATGGGTTAAATTAATAAAGAAATAATAAAAGTGAAGTTAGACACTCACCGCTTGTCTTCGTTCCCAACTCTTCATTGCTGTCTTGTATTTTTCGAACTCGTGACACCAGTTAGAATAAATCTTCTGATAATCGTTAGACTTGGCCGGTGCTGAACATCTGTGAGCGTCTACGGTAATATTGTATGAGCAAAGTAGTGCACCACCAAGCCAACAATCGTATCTACCAGCATCCTGCTCGTTCACACCAACGATAACCAAACCTTTCTCCGAAGTCTCAATGAACTTGTCACCACCGACACCGTACTTGTAAGCTATCTGATAGCGGCCCTTTTCTTTACTATAATGGTACCATCTTACTTCCTGATTAGCCAAAACTTCTGGCATTTTAACGAAACAACCGAGATGGACTGATTGACCCCACGTAACTACGAGCTTTCGTTTACCAACGCTACTATCGCATACGTCAGCCGTGGTGTTCGATACGTCTTGGAGTAATCTGAGAAAACAAAATTGGAAAAAAAAAAAAAAGAAAAACAAAATAATTTTTTTTACACTTTCCAAAAAGATTTTCTTTTTCTTTTCTTAAATAAATTGAATTTCAAACTTTGCAAGAACAAAAATTATTCAATTGATTTACAATGCTAGAAAATATTTTACGTCAAATGTTAGAACAATCACGTTGGAATAATTTAATAAAAAAATAAATAAGAAGTTTGCATAAAAATTTGAGATCAAGAATGTATATATAAACGACTGATCGATTATTAAAAGTTAAAAATGCATAGATAAATATTTAAAAATTATCGATGCTCGTACAATAATTCAATTTATTATAAACGTACCCTGGTTCGTAGGGCTTGCAGGTATTGCTGTCCTTGTCCCAACCGCAATAGGGATCGTGAACGCAGCGCAAGCAATTGTCGTATCGTCGTGTACACATTACAAGATCGATCTGCTTTATTCGATGATCCGATGCGACGTAAAGTGCTTTATGTTCTTTAGAAATTTCCATCGCCTGAATCGGTTCTCCTGGGGTAACATCGAACACATCCAAGAGAATCGATTGTGACTCACCGTTGTTGTCGATCCATTGAACGACCTTATGAACCCGACCGTCACCTGTAACAAGCGTGTTTAAAACTTATTTTTAAAATTTTATTTCAATATTTTAAGGAAATCGTAAATCAGTTTTCTTAGAAACGTTATTAAATATTGCACATTTAAGTGATCGACATTAATAATTTAATAATTGATCGAGATTTTGTGTAAACCATCTTTTGGGGAATTATTTTATGGTAGTATATTTTCACATATTAAATTGATTGATATTTTTATTAAATTAATTCATTCAAAAATAAACTACGTCTTGAAAATTGTATTTTGTTTTATATTAGTAAGATGGTCGATATTTTCTGTCGGTAGATACAAAAGCAACTAAAAAGAAAAAAAAAAAAAGAAAAAAGAAAAAGTTTAAGCTGCAATTGGATTAAAATGATAAGAATTATTAGAAAATTAAAAGCGAACGGATTAAAACGGTTCTTGAATTAATAATTTATTAATATAAAAGTTCGATATTTTGTGTCAACCTATATTTACCGTATAACGATCAATAATTAAGATAAAATGACACGATTAAGATAAAAGTGCTAGGAGAAGAAAAGGAAAAAATACGAGCTTTATATACCGTTAACTCTTCTCGATAAATAAAAAATAGTCATAAATTAAATCGCGTTAAAGTTAATTATTTTCATACGACCGTATCTCCGACATATACGAGATACGTTTTATCGCTCAATCGTTAATACCGCAAATACACGCAACTAACGAGACGCGTCAAAGCTTCGGCCGCAGATTTATTAATGAAATTTCTACGAGATTTGAAAATAAATTGATAAGTAGAAACGCGAAATTACCAACGATAAAACAACACTCTCGAATTATTTTAAGTCGTTACAATAAAAAAAAAAAAAAAATAGAATAGATTGATATTTCCATAAATTGAATCTTATCGTAAACGAAAAAAAAAAACAACAAAATTCGTTTGATTTTAAACGCGATTTTACAATAAAATATGATATTTTATATTTGGAACGATAACGTTTCCTATCTCGGCGTTAATAATTTGATAAGAAAAAGTTCGTTCCTCTTATTTCTCCTTCATTGCTTATCGATTAGCTTTATTCCGTGTATTGCTTTGTGATAAAAAGAGAATCCTCTCACGCTTCATCGGAATATCGATGAAACGAGGAAGAAAAGAAAGAAACCGAGAAAGAGGTAGTACAAAGATAAAAAAGTAAAAGGAAAAGGAAAAAAAAAACAAAGGTAGTATCTTGTGCTACATAAGATGAGAAAAGGGAAAAAAGCACTCACTGGATCCAGCGTAGTAGACCGTGTAATCCAAATCAATGCCGACAAAGTCAATACGAAGTTTATCGACGACTAGTCGCGTTAGCATGACGTCACGCTTGTAAAAGACCGGTTTTTCGTTCTCATGGGAAATAGCAGAGTCCATCAATGGATGAGATCTTATAAAATTGAGGACGGTATCCGGTAAGGATTCTGTATCGTTCACACACTGTCCTGGACGTGGTTCTGGTACTTTATTTGATAATACTGGCAACCATGCGCTGCTACTCGTAGCCTGTTCTTTAAATTTCCCACGGAAAGCTTCCTGTATTGAATCGATGTGAAAGGAACAAATTGCTGAACCCATCAGACCGTTTGTCGAGGTCGTGAACGTTCCATAAAAATGCGTATCGTCGCCTGGTACTTTGTAGATGCTCTCTGGAATCATAGAAACACAATCGATATTTTTCAATATCATTTATTTAGATATTATATAAATAAATATATAAAAATACTTTTTTAAATACGAAATTTAATATATGTAGATTTGATTTGATTTATTTAAATACAGGATATCGAATATTTGTTTCTAATGAAAAATATAATAATAAAGAGTGTGCCGTTTATTTTAATATTATATAATATATATAAATTATCATTGAAACGACGGATATATAATTTTCAAACTTTCGAATAATGTTTTATTTTTATTACGATATAACAGGATTGTTATGTATTTAAATGTCGATTTAAAATTATTTTTATAAAAAATATGTACGTATATGAATTTAATAAATTGATTACTTACGAATCTCGTTAAAATAGAACGGAAATTCGCCTGGTATTGAGCAGTTCAATCTGGCTTTTAGATAAGTCACCCAATTCTGGGACAGTATCTTTTTTCCACCGGTGTCTCTTTTACAAACTCTGGCCACGCGTGAATACACGCTTTTACCACAATTTATGTACTCTACCGCAGTCTCGCGGAAAAAGAAGAACACGTAGCTGCCGATGTCGTACGACCCAACGAAGTTTGGTTCTGAAAAATAAAATTAGAGAGAAACGTTGTATTAATAAAAAAGAAAAAACAAAAAGAAGTTCTAAAAGTAATCTTTAGAAAAAAGAAATGTAAAACAAACAAAATTAAGTAATTAGTACAATAGAATACGTAATTAGTACAGTAAATCAGAAAAATTGTGTAAAAAAGAAGAAGAAAAAAAGAAAAGAAATAAAGACAAGGAAATATTCTTAACAAAACAATAAAGATAATTTTAAACGTTGCATTCTGCGTTCATTGCTTTAACTCGTAAACTCGTTCGAAAGAAAAGGAAAGAAAAAAAGGAAAAAAAATAGAGAAAGTAAAAGAAGATGGTATAAAATTATAGCTCGACATAGATAGACTTGTACTTGGGTACTTGGAATAAATTCGAGAAAAAGGGTCGATACGACGAGTGTGAAAATTGTAAAATTGACGTTCCAAGTATTCTACCAAGTAACAGCGGGTTAACTTAACGGGAGAAGGAACGAAGAGAGGAGAGCTTTTCTTTTCTCAACGATGAGAAAGAAAAAGAAAAATAGTAAAAGGAAAGCAAAATGGGATGGGATGGGATGGGATTGGGGAAAGAGAAAGAAGAAAGCTAAGGACTTTCGTAGTTTTCATTTAACACTGGCCGGAGCCTCGGGCAACGCGCGGCTTAACGCAAGTTTAATGAGCATCCACTTGTCGTTTTACGATTCTACAGTCGTAAAACCGTTTAACGGTTCACTCGTTACGAGCATCGGAGTGCTAATAATTCCTTGAATTCAGACATTCTACCCAAAAAATCGAAAACCCAACTACTACTAAGAGGTACACACATAAGAAAACAATGCAAGGAAAGTAAAACTTATTCTATTTGACATTTAAAGAAAAGAAAAAAAAAACAATATATAATTAACCTCCATTCTAATTCGTTCAAAAGGATAATCTTTCTCTCTTTCTACAAATCTGTTTCTCGTCGAATTATTTTGGTTTAAATTATATCATCTACCTTTTTGCTATCTTTTTCGCGATCATCTAGAAATGAAGACTGAAAATGAAATCTGAAAATGAAATTTCGAGTTCGGTGTAGTACGGCAGTCGGTGTGGAAAAGGATTGGTAGAAAAGAGAAATAATACAGAAAGAAGAAAAAAGAAAGAAAAAGAGAGATATATATATATATATAAAACTTGTAAACTTCATGAAACCGGTCCCTCGGGTGATTTCAGTATTCCTTCTCTCTTTCTCTCTCTCTCTTTGTACGAAATCGAGAGCAACATTTTCTCGCGGAAAATGTTCCTTTTTCTATCCTCTTTCTACCCCGTTTCTCCTTCGTCGGCAACTGTGTTTCCCATTTGCAGTGGAATAGGTACGACACTAGTCAGACGCGCACGAATCGTTTCTCTCAATGAAAACTGAACACAGCCGTTTCTCTCTCTCTCTCTCTCTCTCTCTCTCTCTCTCTCTCTCTTTTTCCGTGATTTTCCGTAGTTTTCTTTTATACACACTTTCTCTCTCTCTCTCTCTTTTTTTTTTTATTCTCCAAAACCTTTCACGCATTTGATACGTCAAAGTTCCGGCATCGGATGCGTGTCAGACAATCGATTTAATCGCTGAACTGTGTGTGTGTGTGAGAGAGAGAGAGAGAGAGAGATATTGCAAACCTTTCCTACAAACTATCTTTTACAATACACTTCGTGTTCTTGTTTCCCCGTAGCATAATGTTAAACCGACAGAATGAACGAGAGAAGGATAGAGAAAGAAAGAAAACAAAAAGAAAATAAGAGAGAGAGAGATAGAGAGAGAGACAGAAAAAGAAAAGGTTTGTACCAGGGCCAAGAGTGATTTAAACGCAGAAAACATCCCATCCAGCCAACCACAAGCCCAACCAACCCGTCATTTTCCTCCGCCTACGAAAGCACGCGTTTATTTTGTATAAAGCAGGCGTTTGTGTCTACGATAAATAAACACATGGTGTATTATATACTCAAAGGGAATAATTAATTCATCCACCCGGAGAGAGAGAGAGAGAGAGAGAGAGAGAGAGAGAGAGAGAGAAAGTACCCTTTTTTCTATTGGAAATGATTATTGTTCTTCTACGCGTCAAAAACAAATTTCACATTTGTGCGTACAGATGCTTAACTTTTTAATTATTACTTCATTCATAATTATTAACATTCCTTATTTCATAATGACGATAATACGTATGAATATATTCAATACTATGTACGTGTGTGTTGGATAAACAATCTAAAGCGTTAAACGAAGAAACGTTCGTTACTTTTATAAACACATTTCTTTAATCGACAATAAAAAAAGGCAGCCAGCCAGCCAGGCAGCCAGTCAACCAGCCATTCTTGTGCTCAAATAATTTGCATAATTTCGATCATAAAAAAAAAGGTATAGAATACATAACTGTAGGTAGTAGACTAGCCGAAGTGCATCGACCTTAAATCTTAACGAGCATGATGGAATAGGTTTAACTAAACTAGTTTGAAGGTTTAAGAAAGAGAGAGATAAATAGAGGAAGAGAGAGAGAGAAAGAGAAGCAAACGTACGAGTATAATATTCAAGAAGGAGGAAGTAGTTACGCGATATCGTTGAAAGCTCGTTTCGCATGCGCAAGGACGCGTGAAAGTGGACGCTCGTCGGTCAGTTATTCAGGGCTTGTTAAGGACTCTCGTGACGTTCTCTTCCTTTATCGTATCCCTTAGGTCCTATCTCTTTCTCTCTCTATCTTGTTTTTGCTCTCTTGCTCTCGCACCACTGATCGTATATCCATTTCAACTTTGTATCGTTTGCCGACTAATTCTAAACAACTTTTCAAAAAGCGAAGACAATGGGGGTGTACAACACCATTGCGAATTTCTCTTAACGACATGTTACGCTTCTATTCGAATTACTAACCAGTTAATTAATAACAAAATGATTCATTGGTATAAACTTTACAACACATAGTGAAACTTATAATACAACTAATTCCCTAAATGTTAGAATAATTAGTGAATTGAATATTACGAATGATTTGAAACAGAATAGATCGTGATATATTGTATTATGAGTTTTTAATTAAAAGATAACGTGTAAGTTTTAATTGTATACATTGTAAATGATTTACATACGATAAACAATCAGCACGTTATATTGTAACGTATGATAATATACAACAATTAATTTAGTGATAGTAAACCAATTGGACATAGCAAATGATCAATCGATCGGAGAGTAAATATCTCGAACGCACTGTTCCTCATTAGACATGAGATGGGCGTACAGAGAGATACTACCTATTCCTCGATTGCTAATACGTAGATCTTTGATTATATAATATAATATAACTTATGTAATTGTTAATAACAAACTGTTGATTGCATAAATTTATATATTATATATGTATTATTTAATATAGATTATTAGATATATTATCTAACGTTAGTCGATAAAAAATTAATAATAAAAATTGTTTATAACAATTTGTTCATAAAAAATCATCGCATGCATTTATTTATGTGTATAGTCACAAATTATTTGACATTAATTGAAGAAAAATATTGAAAGTAAACATTTCGTTTAAAAAGATTGTTTATAAAAAATTCTTAATTTTTATAAATAATTTAATGAAAAAACATAGGGAAACGTATGATTTAATATGGTGTTTGTTTCGAGTATCTACGAATATCGGTTCATGAGATATTTCAATTTAAAAAATCTGACACACTGATCTATACAAATAATTTCATTGAAAAATTCTGTCTACACGCTGACCTATATAAATTCTTGGAATTTACGCAAGCGAGTCAGTCAGCTGACCAGCGTAAACACTTTTTCTTTCTACTACGAGCACGTGTGTGGTGCTAACAAAAAATTATGAATGGTAATCGTACGAAGATAATATCTTCGGAACGAAAAGACGTAGAAACATGAAACCAACATCATTTTAAAGGAAAAACCATCTTCTTTTTAATCAAGTATAAAAATACTATCGATATAATAGAATTAAGTTCGTCGATTTTTCGATAGATATCTCATATACATACGAATGAATGTATACATTTCAAAAGTAATCTATAACATATCGAAATCAAATTTATTATTGTAATATTAATGATTACTGATATACATAGGAACAAGTTAACTCGAAATAAGACAACTATTGTTCGATAATATATCTATAATCTTTAAATGAAATATAAAAAAAATGAAATTTAGTCGACACCTTCTTCTTAAAACTTAAAAAATAAAGCAAGAGATATACCCTACTACTAATTCCTTCATTAAAGTCAGGGAGAGAAGAAAGTTATTACGTTGGGAAATATCAGGCGCAAATTTTCTCTTGTTGCCATCGTAGACGCGAGTAAATACATAGGGACATACATATACAAGGTCAAAGAAGTGAAGAGAAGAGAAGAGAAGTGGAAAGAGAAGATGAGAGGGGAAGAGAATTTCGAAGATGCGAATTCATTCGTCTCAAGGTTCCTTTCCCTCCCCGTTGCTTCTTACCACTCTTCCTTCTTCTCTACCACCCCACCCCACTCTACCCCAACCTCTTTTACTCACCCACTCTTACTCTTGCGTTTAATCAACGCCTCTGTTAATAGACAAACTCGATGCGGAGAATGGCTCTTGATAGCGAGCGCGTAGTCTGTATAGGGTTGGAAAGTGAAAGAGAGAGAGAGAGAGAGAGAGAGAGAGAGAGAGAGGAGGAGGGGAAAAAGCGGGCCGTCCTCAAATTAAACGACGAAACAAATGGCTAATCATGCATCCCGTAGGGGGGTAGTACGAAAGATACAAAGTGGAGCCGCACCAACTACCACCTTTCACCTCTTACACTCTACGATTCGAGGCTGTCGGGTCGAGAAGAGGTCGAGTGGTGGCACGCTTCTCGCTCACGAGAAAAACAGAGATAGAAAGGAAAGGAGAAGGAGAGAGGGAGAGAGAGAGAAGAGACGGAAGAAGAGTACCCTCTTGAGAAATATAAGGCAACTACTTTCATGCTAGTATTTCCAACAACTACCACTACCTGTGCAATGCTCGACATCCCTTGCTACTATTTCGCGCATACGAGAGAAAAAGAGAGAAAGAGAGAGAGAAAGTAGAATATGTTTCGTGAAATCAGAGTAAGCTCGACGTTAATTAATTGAAGTAAGGTAAGTATAGATACGTGTTAGTTGTTATATTTGAATTCTTTTAAGAATAAAATTCTCACGAATATATTGAATAAACTTATTTTAAATACATTAAAAATATTTATATATATATTAATTATTTAATTTATTAAGTACAATATAACGATCTGCCACATAATTTGTGTAGAGATAAATTTATTACACGGGCAAATAGAAAACAATTAAGAAGATAAATAATTAAAAAAACAAAAGAATACTTGGAAACAATTAAGTTAGGGAACGAAAAGGGAAAGAAGAAATGGTATTACAGCGTTAAGTTATACGAGGGTTATATAGAACAGGGTGTTATTTCGTTACTATGTATACTCTCTTTTCTTTTACTTATTCCCTCTCTCTCTCTCTCTCTCTCTCTCTCTCTATCTCTTTCACGTTCGATAGTTCACTCGAAGGTTTCCAAAGCATCCCCCTCCGGCGTGAGTAACGTTTCTCACCCTCTCTCGTAACTATCGGTGGTCTCGGGTCTTTCCACGTGCTGCTGCTAGTATTCGAAGAGGCTGTCGCGAGTTGTTCACGAGGAAGAAGCTACCTACCATCGGCCTTGGAAAATGGAAAGACTGAACGGAAGATGGGAGGGAGGAAGGGTGATGGTGCAACGAAGGGAAAGGGGAAAAGCTTCCCAACACGCGAGGGGCTTTACGCCGCGATCGTTTAAGCCCTGAAAACGTGTCCCTCGAAATACGAAAGGCTTTTGCTACTTCAAAGTACTCCTTCTTCGCTTTTCCGACCTTGTCTACTTATTCTCTCTCTCTTTCACTCACTCACTCTCTTTCTCTTTCTCTTTCTCTTTCTTTCTTTCTCTTTCCTGGTTCTCTTCGAGTAAACTCACCCCAAACTTTGGAGCTTTTTAGACGATGTTCACCATCTCATTTTATATATATATCTCTGTCTCTCTCTCTCTATCTTCTCCCTTTCTCTTTCAAGCCTGTCAAAACTCCGTTCTAAGTCTAATGGAAATTTCATTGTCGCGAATGCACCTCGTAATTGTAGGCTCTCCCCGTCTCTAACTTGCGTCCTTTGTGTCAATATTAGAAGGAACTACGAACGGGGTAGAGGGTTTTGACGCTTCTGCCTTCCCTCCCTTTTCTCTTTCTCTTTCTCTTTCTCTTTCTCTTTCTCTCTCTCTCTCTCGCGCTATCTTTCTTAAGATTATCCTTAGTTAATAGAAAGTATTCTACTCGCAATAGATAATTATTATGGTAAAACGAGTTCACATTGTACTTTTAAACGCTTTCCGATAATAATTATTCTTTATTTTTACGTTGTTCGCCGTTTCGCGATCGATCTTTTTAATAGGATTTTATTTAATAATTTTTTTATCTAATAGATAAGTATTTCGTTGAAAAATTTGCCCTTATAATATTATTAATAATAAAACTATCGATATAATAATAAACTCGATGAAGAATCATTCCAACGTTACTATTTTTCTTCTTTTATATTTTGTTCTTAATAAATATATAGATATGAATATGGATATAGGTTACAAAATTTTATAAATGAAAATAAAAAAAGATAATGTACTACTACTTACTGTCGAGCCATTTGGAGTCATATTTTAGGGTCCTCTTGAAGCTGAAGGCTTTTCGTCCGGTCGTCAAATTGTAAAGATCCGTACGAAAGATGACGGTATCGGCTTTAGTGAATTCGGCATTTGTGCCGGAATAAAGAGCCGGCAATTCACCGGGATTGCCCTTTTCTACCCAAACTGCCGTTGAATTGTCAGCAGGATCGTAAGGGCACTTTGCTATACCCATCCCAACCCCGGGAACGAACTCGTGTCGTGGTAAATGCGTTAGATTGCTCTGAAAACGAAAACGGAAATTGAATTCGATGGTATGTAGTAACAACACAGAGACAGAAAGCATATTATAATATTCTATTAGCCATTTTGCAATTATATATATCCATTGGGTGTAATATACTGCTTAATGAATGTAAATTGGAACAGGCATAATGCGATGGTGCACATATTCATTGTATACCCAATGGAAGCAGACATTTCTATTATTACATTAATTACATATTGTGTGTTTAGAAAATAAAATATTTTATATTTCTTTGTGTTCCCTTTTTTTTCTTCTTTTTAATTTTAATTTTGTCAATTTAAAAATTGATATTATGAAAATAATTCAATATAAATAAGAAGCAAATTATAAATTAGCGATATATAATATATGATAGTAAATATACTCACATAAATCACCCAATCCTTTGGCGAGTGTGCATTCGTGCCGCACGTATAGAGTCGATTGCCATCTCCCATAGGTTGTATCACTCTTATATGGTTACGACAGTCGAAATGCTGTAAAGTAGAGGAGAAGAAGGAAATTGAATTTTTCGTTCAATGACAGAAACGATGACGAAGGCCTTACCACGGAAAAAGGGATTTTAATATGTTGCTGATTTTCGCGTTTTTCTTTTCCTTCTTTTTTTTTTTTTTTTATTACGAGATAAAGACTTTTTAAAAAAACATTTTACTCGAAGATAAAGAGAGAAAGGGGTAAAAAGAAAAAAGAAAAAAAAAAAAGGAATGAGAGAAATGCCTGTAAAAAGCCTCCTTAGATTCTTTTTACGCTTATTCAAAGATGTACATATATATATATACATATATTTATATATATATTACTCTCTTTCTTTCTCTTTTACACACGCGGTCGATCACGTCGGTCGCGTATTTTGCAGCCAATCGGTAGAGAAAATAAATTGGCTTTGTCGTCACGTACAGAATATTTGCGTGGACCTTACACCTCGGCTATGCATACACGATGAATATAAATGAAGCTCAGTTAAACGTCCGCCTTCAATGTTATAAAAGAGAAAAAGAGAAAAAGAGAAAAGCAGAAGAGAAGTGCACCTCTGTGATATGCGAACGATTTAGGAATGAAAAACACGATCGACTAGGAAAAATCTTTCTTACCTTCCTCTATCCTTGAATATTTCTTTTTTACTCTCTTTTTCTCTTTCTATCTCTCTCTCTCTTACTTCTTTTTTTTTTAATTTAAATATATTTGAAATGAAAAGAACGCGACAATGTTATAATATTATGAATGCTATGCGCGTTACTGTTAAATTTATTCTTACTTTATATATATTACAATATTTTATAATAACTATAAAGAGAATAATATTCATTTAAATGTGTAATACGAAAATTAATATTATATTTATTAAGACCAAGTTGGCTTTTCTATTGTTCGTATAAAAAGTTCCGAATAATTTAGGAAAATTAAGCATAATTAATAGAGATATTTTTATTCAATTATACTTACTTCGGATTTACCCTTTGACACACAATTAGCAACATTACTTGGTTCTAAATTGAGGGCATCTCTCTGGAACAAAAAAGTAACGAAAAAATTTATATTAATATACACATTCGCATGGGGATAAAAATATAATATAATTAATAAGCATACTGTTCTAATTGTTTATATTTGTCTCTCATTCATCATATTATACAAAAAATACATCATATACACGCGTGAAAAGTTCATCTCGTTATTCGTTTCGTCTTTCATTCAGCTAACAAGACAACAGTAGTAGCGACGAACCCTTTTTCCAAAGGGTCCCAGTTTTCTTTTTTTTTTCCTTTTCTCACCCACTCAAAAAACTCACAAGCTTACAACTTCGAAGAGGTGACAAGAAGAGCGAGTGCATTCTTCACATTTTGCAGGCGCGAGCAAGTGGATGCTCTCACGTTAGATAACTACCATCTCCGAGTTACATATCTCGGAATATATGAATTATAGTAGAATAAGGTCAAACGTTCAACGATTCGTGAAGAAAAGAAAAGAAAAAAGAACAAATTTTCTATAAACAAACATTTCACTATCTATCTAATTAATATAATTATACAAATAATTAATAAATATAATATAATTGTGATATTTATGATAAAATTATTTGTAAAGAAAATGATTGTAAATTTCACAAGAAAAAAAACAACATAGAAGAGAAATATCGTTGCATCACCATCACCACTACCACTCAACCTATCACGAACCACCACTACTACCACCACTAGCTCGGACACCTTCTTCCTGACACACAAAGCATTTCGTGTTGGGTACCGGATCGCGGGTACGATTCGGAACAGGAAGTGGTTCGTTTGCACGGTCAATCGTCCGAAACGCGTTAGCCTTAACGATCGATCTCCTGCGGACGTCGCGTGCCACTCCCGTGCACTCTGTCACGAGCAGAAACGCCGACGATCCTTGAAATTGTACCCCCTTGTACCCTCTATACCTCCTGTACCAGTATCACCTACTACTCTCTGCCTCCTTCATTCAACGACCAAAGGCTCGACCCAAAAACGACCAAAAGACGAAGAGACTGGAAAACCAAGTTGACCGGTGACTTTGATGTACATCTTTTTCCTTTCTTTCTTTTCCTACGTTTCTTTTCTTCTTCTTTTTTCCTTTTTCCTATTCGAGATACGAGTGACGTACTCGTACAGTTAGAGAAATTAAAGTGCATTTGTAGAATGGTTGAAACACGGTTACGATACTACGACTAGAATATAAGTAAGTAGTGTCAAATAATTTTGATTAAAATAACAAAATTGATATATATAAATATTGTATTATTGTCGTAAAATCAATTCAAGAAAAAGCAATAATACTAAATGCAACATTTTCATTTTGTGTTTGCTATTAAATTATTTGAATTTATTTGTTAATGAACAAAATATGAAAGACGTTTACTTTTTATATACATATAATAAATCGTTTTCCGGATACGTATATTTAATGATTTCAAAATAAAGCTACTTCGTAACATATAGCTTTCCAGCCGAAGCTGGTGCGAAACGCTACGCCGGGCACGTTAATAATAACTGTCGCAAGGGATTTCGACGAGTCTCGTAGTTAAGATAATCTTCTTAAGGAAACTACGTACTCGGTGACTACAATTACTCTTGAAATACCAGCACCACCACCACTACCAACACTACCACCATATACAAAGCAACGAGTCGAACGGAGCTTTCGCTACCGAGTAACGTGCAGTATAACGGCAAGCAAAAGAAGGAAGAAGGGAAATAGGGAAGAAGAATACTCTCACCTTCTCTCCCTCTTCCATCTCTTTCTCACTCTAGAATCTTCCTAAACCATTTCCATGTCGCAAAACGACTAGACGAAGTAGTAGAGCATTATAGTTACACCTTACGTTTCTCCTATCGAATCTAACCCTCACACCTTTCTCTTTCTTACCCTACCCATCCCCCTACTCCCCTTCTCTATCTTTCTTACCATCTATCTATATACGTTTATTTCTATGGAACTCTGAGTAGTAGGACTTAACGAAATTAGTTCCTTTGAACTATCTCAACCTTGTTTCGAGTCATCCAGTTTACATCTTAAATATTCACTCCCTTAGACTACCTTTTACCAACTTCTGAATTTTATACGTAAAGTAGTAAACTAATTAAGCAAAAAAAAAAGAAACAGAAAAATAATCTCGTGATTGTACCTTATGAAAATTCCATTCGGTTTATAATTAAATTCAATTAAATAGATCAACCTATTTGGGTAGAATTGACTTGTGTGTATGCGCACACGTGTGTATACGTGATAGGTACACATTATGCGTATTAAATACAACGGCGTAGGTGCATTAAAGGCATGTCGATACTATTTGTCTCACCTATTTTCTTGTACAGATAGAAGAGCCGATAATTAAAAGCTAAGAGTCATCTCAACACGCGTTACCTGTAAGCCTTCTCTCTCTCTCTCTCTCTATTTGTCTCGTTTCGTGTGGCTCGTTATACTAATCATTGCCTATCCGCTCGTGAGTTAGAGATGGAGATAGTTTCGAATAGGGGATGATGATAGCGAGTACCGGATCATAAGGGGGGATGTAAACGGTAGAAATGGCCGTAGCATGCGTTGCCTAGGATGGAAAACCAGATGCTTTTCCATCTAACGACTTTAGCTTATATAACGATGCAGTTACATCGGTGTAGCAGTTACACAGGTTAAACCATAAACGTAACATCGTCCTAACGAAAATAGAAGAAAACTCATAACATGAAAATTTACGGTGCTTACTTTAAGATTATTTCTAATGAAATATCATATACGAATTTGTATACGAAACTGTTACAAATTTTGCGATTATATTTGTATGTAAATAAAAGAAAGAAGAAAAAAAAAACTATACATGAAAAATAAGTTTTATTAAATCTGAGATAAGTTGTAAACACAAGATTAAGTTGAATTATTATTTAATTAAAGTGCGAACACACAGTAGGGGAGATTTTGATTGGTACTTAAAGGACGATTCGAACCTGGATTAAAAAGAAAGAAAGAAAAGGATAGATAAATTTGAGCAAGATTGGATTGAGTAATACAAGCAAAAGTAAAAGCAACAACGTCTTCTAGTTTCTGGTTTCGATTGAAACGACGAATAAGACGTAGGAAGTCTGGCGAGATGGTAGAATACGAGACGACAGAAATAGGGGGATGAGTAGATAGGTTGGTAGGTGGATGGATAGGTGGGTGGGTGGAAAGGAGAAGGCGAATCCGCGGAAACTGAATTCCCTGAGAGTTTAGGATAGGGCACCTACCCGTCGGTGCAAGGACGGGAAGATATTTCTGTTTAATAGTCGACGTACCGTGCCGGTAATGGAAGTCGAGGCGTTTGCATGCCGGGAGGCACGCCGGGGCTGTAAAGTTAATGGCGTCGTAGGCGACACGATAAAATGATGCACCAAGTTTCACCGACAATATTATTGCTGGTACCTGGTTCGTGGTGTCTTACAATCCCATTCTATCTATCTCTTCATTTTCTTTTTTTTTTTTTTTTTTTTTTTGGTTACTTCATTTCTTAATCTAATACGTACGTAAAAGAAAAAAATTCATGGTTGATTACGTTGTGTGAATGATTTTGAATTGATTCGTTTCAAAATTATTATTATCGAATTTCGTTGTTTCGAAAATAATTATTTCGATAATCATTTGAAGCGTTATTTTGTCATCGATATCGTTTCGCATATGAAGAATTATTAACGAACTGTGATATATAAGAATCGTGAAATTTTTTAACACGATTGTGTCTGATACTTGATGACATATTATACCCAGCTATCCGTTTACGAAGAACTAAATGAAAAGAAGTAGTGCAGTCTTTAATCACAAACGATTTGAAATTAAGGTCTCTCTTTTTCACTTTGTTCAGCTAGATCGTTAGTTAAGTTCTTTTTGTTGGGAGAAGTAAAATCATCTCGAAAACGATGCGAACGGAATTAAAAGCTACGACAACAGACAGATGCTTCGAGTTACCAATTCACTCTCTCTTTCTCTCTCTCTCTCTCTCTCTCTCTCTCTCTCTCTCTCTCTCTCTCTTCATCATTTTTCTTTCCTTCTTTACTTTCGTGTACTTATTTCATCGTACACTTATTTTATCGAGTATCGATTACTACCCACCCAAGTGGTATTAAAGAAACTCTTCTCCCGTTTTTCGTTATTATTTATTTTAATCATGTCAAGCAAACGTTCGTTTTATACAGGAAATGCTTGAAAGAAAGAAAAAAAAAATAAGAATAAATAACTTATCTGAAACACTTCATTATAATATTCCCGATCGTAAAAATAGGAAACGATAAAATGTATAAATGTAATAATTCAACCCATAAGTAGAGTAAGTTGTAATAGAGTATTTTCCTAAAGAAAATCTCACTCTTCTTTGACTCTCTCTTTCTCTCTCGTAGAGTTGGTAGTAGAAGTTAGAAGGGTTGGTTGGGAGAAGAGAAGAGAAGGTTGAGAATGCAAGAAAGGCGGCCTGATTACGGTTTGAGCAAGCGTCGTTGGCATCAGTGCAATCCTCTGGCAGTAGCAAGAGCACCGGGCGTCCAGGTGTAATCACTACTCCAACAAGCACCGTGTCCCACTTCAGATGCTTTATGCTCTTCCTCTCTGGATCAGTTGAGTTTCCCTCTCTAACTCTCTCTCACTCTCTATCTCTTTACTCCGTTGGTCTCCATTCGCCCTATTCAAGGGGTTGCAAGGCAGTAAGACGGGTGGTAGAGGGTGGCTTTAGACTTTCGGCATCCGGGCCGGGTTGATTAAGCTTCTGGTGAAGGTGATGATGTTGCGAGTAGAAAGAGATAGATAGATAGAGAGAGAGAGAGCTCAGTGGTTGTCATCTCGTCACTAGTTTCTAACAAATCCGTTCGTTTGTTCTTCTTTCCCTTTCTTTAATCTTGTCTCTGTTTCTCTTTCTCACGACAGTATTCTCTCGGTATATTTAATAATCATCAGAGTCAGAGAGAAGACCCGTTCTAACAATTTCTCTACTTGTTTGTTCTTTTCACATGTTAAGAATATCTTAGGTG